TGTAGAACAAACTGGCCTCAAATTCACAGAGATCTGCCTGTCTCTGCCTCCTAAGTACTGAGATTAAAGGCGTGTGCCACCACTGCCCATCTTAAAACCCAACTTTTCATTATCAGACATAAATATCTAACTCTAATTTCACAACACTATCTTTTGATCTTTCACATGGCACTTTGTACCCCTGAAAATTTTGACCTGCCTACTGAAAATGGTAACTAATCCTGTTTCATTCCTTTAGAAGCCTAAAAATAGCCAGGCGGTGGTGGCTCATGCCTTTAATCCCAGCACTCCGGAGGCTGAGGCAGGTGGATCTCTGTGACTTTGAGGCCAGCCTGGTCTGTAAGAACTAGTACCAAGACAGGCTCCAAAGCTATAGAGAAAACCTATCTCGAAGCCAGGCGGTGGTGGCTCATGCTTTTAATCCCAGCACTCGGGAGGCAGAGGCAGGCAGATCTCTGTGAGTTCGAGGCCAGCCTGGTCTACAAGAGCTAGTTCCAGGACGGGCTCCAAAGCTACAGAGAAACCCTGTCTTAGAAAACCTATCTCGAGCTGGAGAGATGGCTCAAGGGTTAAGAGCACTGGCTGCTCTTCCAGAGGTCCTGAGTTCAAATCCCAGCAACCACATGGTGGCTCACAACCATCTGTAATGAGATTTGGTATCCTCTTCTGCCATGCAGGCACACATGCCGGCAGAATGCTGTATGCATACCAAATAAATCTTTGGCACTGGGTTTTGATCCTACTGCACGTACTGGCTTTGTGGGAGCCTAGGCAGTTTGGATGCTCACCTTACTAGACCTGGATGGAGGTGGGTGGTCCTTGGACTTCCCACAGGGCAGGGAACCCTGTTTGCTTTTTGTGCTGAGGTGGGTGGGGGACTTGATTGGGGGATGGGGAGGGAAATGGGAGGCGGTGGCGGGAAGAGACAGAAATCTTTAATAAATAAATAAATTTAAAAAAACTAAAAAAAAAAAGAAAACCTATCTCGAAAAAAAAAACAAAAACAAGAAGCAGCCTTAAAAAAAAAAAAAAAAAGCCCTATGACACATACCAGTAACTCCAACCACTCAAGGCTGAGGGAGGAGGACCTGAAGTTTGAGATCAGCTTGAGCTATAAAGAAGCAATACCACTCCATCTCAAAACAGGGGGGAAAAAAAAGGTCTGGGAAGAAAAAGCTTGGGCACCACAGATACCTAATGTACAACAATATACATGTGTTAAATAAAGACTCCCAAGTACAAGAATATCTAATGGATGCATTCTTTACTCCCAATATTTATATTTATTTAGTCTGTGTGTGTGTTTCTATATATATGTTCAGATCCTGTGGAGACAGATTCACATAGACAGCTGTGAGCTTCCAGGGAGGCAGAGGCAGGCAAATCCCTGAGTTCAAATCCACCCTGGTCTATAGAGCAAGTTCCAGGACAGCCAAAACTACATGGTGTGGGGGACCATGGAAGGACTACAAGGTCAATGTTCCTTAAACACTTATCTTAAAGTTCTTTCTAGTGGTCTTGGTAAACTTTCTCTATTGCCTTACCATAGTAGTCTATTCAGCCACCAGAGACATTTCCTGTGGATATGTGTGAGGGATTCCTTTTACTATGACTGACACAACAAACTGGCAAACAATTTCTAAAAGAAGCTGACAAGAATTGTTCTTTTTCTGTTGTTTTGAAGCAGGGTATATGTACCTCAGACTGGCCTGGAACTCACTATGTACCAGAGGATGACCTTAAATTTCCTTGTTTTTTGAGACAGGGTTTCTCTGTAGCTTTACTAGAACTAGCTCTTATAGACTAGCCTGCCTCTGTCTCCCCAGTGCTGGAATTAAAGGCTGTGTCACCACTACCCGGCTGACCTTGAATTTCCAACTGCTGGAATTACTGGGTGTGCTATTACACCCTGGTTCTGGAGCTGGGGATCAAACCCAGGGCTGCTTCCCACATTCTCATCCAAGAATTGATTTTTCAACTGCCTGAACCCTCCTCACCTGCCCCTCCATAAATATGGGGGGTAACAGAAAAATAAAAATTATTTGAATGAAAATACACCTGGCAATAACACTCATATATATGGGAACCTAGAAAGTGGAAGCACAATCAAGACCCCTTTTTAATGGAGGGTGGAACAGAACTCAGCAGCTATGAGCATTTGCTGATCTTTCTAAGCACCAGAGTTTGGTTCCCAGCACCCACATGATGACTCATAACTTGCCTGTAACTTTAGTCCAGAGGATCTACCTCCCTAATCTGACTTCTCCTGGATCTCAAGGTGCACATACATATACTACAGACATACATAAATACATAAAATAAACAATTTTTTTAAGATTTGAGAGCCAGCAAGATGGCTCCCCAAATAAAGGCACTTGCTGCCAACCCTGATGACCTGAGTTAAATAGATAGAATCCATATAATAGAAAGAAAGAACAGCTTTCTGATCTACTACTCGTTGCTCACCGAAATGCCCACACAAATAAACATTAAAAAAAAAAAAGATTTAAATGAACTATACAGTCTTTCCACACTTGAAAATATATAGTAAAAGTTAAGTATCTCCCACTTGGCCACGCGGGAAGATAACCTCCGCTGTGTCATTAGCAGCTGCATAATCTGAGTAAAGGAAAGAGGATGGGTTCTAATTTTACTACCAAAAATATGAACTACAAACATGAGTTTTTCACTGGTTATTTAGCAAATCAATCATGGTCACCTTACTAAGAAATCAAGTTCTGTTAGGGAGTATGCCTATATTCCTGTTTCCTCCATAACAACAACAACCAAAAAGAAAAAGAAAAAAAAACACCCAACCGGGCAAGGCGACAGCACACCTTTAATCCTAGTACTAGGGGAGGCAAGCAGATCTGTGAGTTCAAGGCCAGCCTGGTCCACAGAGCAAGTTCTAGGAAAGCCAGGGCTACACAGAGAAACCCTGTCTTCAAAAACAAACAAAATAAAAAAGCAAGTATTTCCAGCCTTGTAAACTGTTATTCCATAGAATCAAGCATGTATCTCAAAGTACCCCCTACCCAATCAGAGCTCATAGGAAATTTTCATCCTTTCCCCATACTCTTACTCAGCCCAAAAAAAAAAAGCACCTAACAACCTACATACTTATTTTAGCTGTATAAACAATTCTGCCCCAGCACTTGGGAGGCAGAGGCAGGTGGATCTCTGTGAGTTCAAGGCCAGCCTGGTCTACAAGAGCTAGTTCCAGGACAGGCTCCAAAGCTATAGAGAGACCCTGTCTCAAAAAAAATAAAAAAATAAAATAAAATTAAAAAAAGCCAATTCTGCTTTATATCTGTCAAGCTAAGAAGTCAGGTGACCCCAGCATGTGGCTATAACTCTCCTACTTATTTCTTTAGAACTATAAGCTATTATTTTCCAAAAGCTATACTTGAGAAGGGTATTTTAGTCTTCTAAAGATTATTAAGTTCTCTTAAATATACAAGTCATAATGCAGAAAAGTAGTAGAACCCATTTTTTTGTTTCTTTGTTTTTCCTAGACAGGGTTTCTCTGTGCAACAAACAGCCTTGGCTGTCCTGAACTCTTGTAGACCAGACCAGCCTCAAAACTCAAGAGATTCACCTGTCTCTATCTCCCAGTTGCAGAGATTAAAGGTGTGTGGCACCTAGTCTGGCTGTAGAGTCCATATTTTTTAAATGAGAGCTCTATCAAAAGTCAAATTAAAGTTAATTTATCATTTAATGTTAGCTGCTTAAAATCAAATCTCAAACATTTCAATAAAAGTAAAAATAACAAAGCACGTTAATGTAAATAATCAGTCAACTTGTTTTGTTTAACACTACACCAATCCTCATACAGGGCAAGACAAAGTTATGATTCTGCAAACACTTTAATTGCTTCATATCTCAATTCTAGACTCAAGCATTCATTTTTTAAATCGTATTTGGTCACAAACACCAGTTCTCAACAGACATAATGTTTAGGAAAAACATCAGTCAAAACTAAGTGTACTCCTACTAACAGATCATTTCAATTTCTCTACCAATTCTTAAAATACGACAGTCTAACCCCTCATAAAATCCTTTACATCCAAATCGTTCTAGAAAGCAAGACCAACCCCCAAAACTTGTGTGCTCTCCATTCACGTGGTCAATTCTGAACAATTACAATGGAGTGTACTTCAAAGAATACATCAGCTACCACTGAAATAGAGGCTTAAACATTGAGTTAGTCCTAAGTACTGTTTTAAAGCTCAAGTAGTCACTGAATACTTGAAGCATTTACTCAGCAAAGAATAGAAAACTAAATTAAAGCACAAAGGTCCATAGTCAGAAAAACCTGACTAGATATAACTTTTCTTTCGAGTTAATGCTTCTAATGTTTTCAAATCCAACCAGACCCCAACTCCTCCATGCAACAGAATATTTCCCTACTCCCGTGTCCAAACTCACTCCCAAGTGTCTAGGTAAATTGCTGTTCGCCAAAATAACTGTTTCTGCAGTTAGGGAAAACTTAAAATTCCCTAATGCCAGGTTGGGTCGATTCCATTCACAAGTCCCACAATCACATCTTTCGGCTGACTAACGTCCTGCCTAAATTCAGAGGAAGGCCTCGGCTGGAGTTCGGGGCTTTAAAAAGACATTAATTAACACGTGCGAGTGCAGAAGGGAGCAGAGCTAAGGTGGTCTTTTCGCGCGGGGACTGGACGAGGAGAAGCCGAGGAAGTTAATGGGTAACAGGGAGAGTTCCTGGACCTCAAACCTCAAAACGGAGAGATGATGGCAGCGGAACGTCCTCCTCCACCCTCCCCAACCCAAGCTCGGAGCCACTGCTCCAGCCCTCGGGTTGAGCGAGGCAGGCAGCCGGGCACAGAGGCCCGGGCTGGCCGGGCAGGAATGCCGCGCCCGGAGGACACCCAGGAAGCCGCGCCCGGCTCCAGGGGCGGCGGGCCTAGGCCGCGCCTCCCAGTCCCACGGGTCTAGGCCTCGGCCAGCTCCAGGCGAGGCTCGACGCGGTCACCCACCTGGGTTGCCAGTCATTCCAGCTCCGCGGGTACTTGGTGCCGCCGCCGCCGCTGCTCAGCCGAGACCCCGGGGCTCTGCGGCTCATTACCTTCCCCGACACGACATGGCCAAGCGCCGCCGCCCGAAGAAGCGCGAGTCGCCGCCTGAACCGGCCGCAGCCGACACTGCGCTCTGGCGTGGGGCTGAGGAGGAAGCCGCGGAGGGGGCGGCGAAGGGCGGGGGAGGCGGACGGCCGTTCCGGGTTCCGCTGGAGCCCGCAACGCAGGAGCAGGAGGCGGGAGCGGCGCGGCGAAAGGGAGGCGGAGGCAGGCGAGGCGACGTCTCTTCCAGGGCAGCGCGCGACCCGCGACGCTGGGGCCCAGGAGGACGAGGACAGCGAGGAGGCGGTGGCGGCGGCTCCTCACGCTCACACGGCCACGGCTTCCCCGCCTCCCGGCTCCGCCCGCCGCGCCGCCGCTGCCGCACGGCATGCTGGGAGCGAGGGGCGGTGCCGACGCCCTTGGAGTCTGGACATGGGGCGGGGCACGGGGTGAGGGGCGTGGCCATTGCTCGCCAACTATGGAGGGGGCGGGGCTTGAGACGAGCGCAGGGTCACCTACGAGGGGCGGTGCCGGCGCGCCCATAGCCTGAGGGAAAGGGCGGAGTTTCTGGGGGCGGAGTCTATGATACACCAAGAGAGGGGAGGGGCGAAGCCGGAAGGCGGGACTTGATAGAGAGGTGCCAGAGCTAAGGGAACCTAGAAGTCAGGGCGAGGCTTTGCTCGCGTAGCCGAAAGGGGTGGGGCTTTGAAGACTGGGAGAGAACTGCGTGCGGGGCGGGACGAAAGCGAGAAAGCGACCTCCCTGGGCGCCTTGGGCTGCGGCTAGGACTGCGGCTAGTGAGGGTTGTGTGGCTCCGCCCCGGGGCATCACGGGAGAGGGGACTCTCCATCACCCCCCCCCCCCTCCGGTCCACATTCCCTAGGCTACAACTCGGAGGACCGGCAGTCAGGTCTGAAAAGACGTCCAATGGAGGACTGGAAGTGGGGCGTGCCCTTGTGCCCCGCGCGCTCGCCGCCCCCACAGTCATGCCCTTGGCGCTCACTTGCGCCCACTTGCCTACCATCCTCCTAGAGAATAAAAATGAGAATCGTAAAATAGAGAAAATAGAGGAAGAGGAAGCCAAATCGACACCTTTTCAGCCCTCACCTGAAATGTCATGGTGTCCTGATATCTTCTTCCTTTTTCCAAATGTGAAAACCAAGACCACCAACCCCTGCTTCCTGCTACATGAACTGCTTTGTAATCCTCTGGTTCCTTCCAGTGGAAAAAGACTAGTTACCTACACACTCCAGAAAGAATTCGCTGAAGTATTGGGCACATTGTATGAACACAGTGTACTTCTTTGTGTGCATGTCTAAACACGTGGAGTTCAGAGGACAACCTCAGGTGTTGCTCCCAAGCCTCCAGCTACCTCGTATTTTGCTACAGGATCTCGCCTTGACTGGCAGAGAGCCCCGGGAGCTGCCTGTTGGCTTCCTCTACGCTGGTATTACAAGCGGTGGCACCATTCTGGCTTTTTCTGGTGGGTTTCCTGTTTGCAAAGCAAGCACGTCAATGATAGAGTTATATCCCCAGCCCCAGGCCCATTTTAAAAAGTGATCAAGATGCGCATCAAGCAAGTATTTAAACCTTTTTCCGCATGAAGTTTTAGGCCATCATTTGCATTACAAGAAGTATACATTATTTATATAATTGAAATTTGTTACCAATGGTACAGTAGGTAGAATTTACGAAGCACCATGCACGAAGCCCTGTCCCCAGCACCCCATGAACGCTGCATGATGACCTGTCTGTAACCCCAGCACGCAGAAAAAGGAAACCGGAAGTTGTTCAGGATCACCCTCGGCTACATTACAAGTTCCAGGCCAACCTGAGCTACATAAGACCCTAACCACTCCCACGGCCCCAAAAAGAAAATTATTACTAAAAGTACTTAATTATGAGTATATAGCTCCCTTTGCCTATGTCCCTTACATCTTCCCACCTTCTGGTTCTCCAGCATGCCCATAAACCCCTCACTAGAGTAAGATCCTTCCAAAAGACAATCAAGGGAATTTTCTTCCCCTCCCTCTTCCTTCCTCTGCCAACCACGTGGCTTATCATTGCAAAAGGTGGGGGAGTCTTCTGAAAAGATGATCTTTGACTCAACACAGAAATCCCCACAAGGAATTGGCAAGCCCCAAGCCTGGTCACCAACCTACTGAAAAAAAAAAAAAAACAAAAAAAAAAAAAAACAAAAAAAACAATTTAGTGGAGCTGAGATATTCAGTGTTAGAGCATTTAACACAGCTGCCATGTCTGAGGCCCAGGGTTCAATCCCCAGCACTGCAAAATAATAATGATAATTACTTCAATAAGATCGTTTCATCAGAACAGATGCACCCCATGTACACACATTTCGTACTGAAATTGCTCTGGGAACCCTCACAAATGCCCATTTCCTTCTCATTGAAGAGGGCGTACAAAGAAGGGTTCGGCCAGGTGCTTAAAGAGCACAGCTAGGTTCCAACTCACACTTCTCTTACATCAGCCTCTGGAGAGCTGGGATAGCAGATCTCCTGGAGCTGGAGATACAGGCAGTGCTGAGCCACCTGGTATGGATGCTGGAACTGAACTCAGGTCCTCTGTAAGAGCAGTACATATTCTTGAGCCCTGCCTTTAAGCCTAACACTTAGAGGCAGATGCAGGGAGATCTCTGTGAGTTCAAAGCCAGCATGCAGAGAGTTCCAGGCCAGCCAGGACTACATATAAGAACCTATATATACAAAAAATATGAAAAGTAGAAAGAGAAGGCCAGGCGGTGGTGGCACACATCTTTAGTCCCAGCACTTGGGAGGCAGAGCCAGTCATAACTCTGTGAGTTTCAGGCCAGCCTGGTCTACAAAGCGAGTTCCAGGATAGCTAGGACTGTTACACAGAAAAATCCGATCTTGAAAAATCAAAGAAAGAAAGAAAGAACAGTACATTTTCCTTTTTCTTTTCTTTTCTTTTTTTTTTTTTTTTTCGAGACAGGGTTTCTCTGTGGTTTTTTGGAGCCTGTCCTGGAACTAGCTCTGTAGACCAGGCTGGTCTCGAACTCACAGAGATCCACCTGTCTCTGCCTCCCAAGTGCTAGGATTAAAGGCGTGTGCCACCACCGCCCGGCTCAGTACATTTTCTTAACTGCTGAGCCATCTCTCCAGCCCCAGTACATTCTCATATATTATCAAATAACAATTTGTTCTTTTATTCAACATTCAGCAAAATTGATGGAGCACCTACTAACCAAGAATTTGACAACAGGACAACCTTCAAAACCCAGCCTTTGAGAAGCTTAGGGAGAAGTCACTAAGTGGCTGGACCTTTCCAAGAGCTGGCTGAAATACTTATATTTGATCATGCCCCCTCTCCCACCCTGCTTAACCAGGCTCTCAGTCTGGCTGCAGATGCCTTTTACCCAATGCCAATTAGTAGACTCCCAAATCAATTAGCAGCGGAATAACCAGGACCTTAGATTTTTTGAGAAAATTTTCACAAATCTCTTTTTTTAACCTCTCCAAGTCACAAAATGTCATCAAAGCAATTCAAAGGAAGGCTCCGAGTTCAAATTTTGCCTCAAATAAGAGGAGGGAGTATTGACAAACTTTTGACTTTTACTGTAAAATGGAGGCATTAACTATACTGGCTTCTTGGGGACTTTAAGAGAATCCATAGAACTAAAATCAGAAACCCTTGAGTAAAAATCAGATATGTGAACCACTGAGGTGACTCAGCAAGGAACAACACTTCCTGTCAAGACTGAAGAGCTGAGTTTGATCCCTGGGACCCACTTGGTGGTAGGAGAACACCAATACCTACAAGTTGTCCTCTGACCTACACGTGTGCCACGGGATGTGTGAACACGCACAGTAAGTAAATAAATAAAATATATTTAAAAAAATTAAATCTAGCCGGGCGGTGGTAATGCACGCCTTTAGTCCCAGCACTCGGGAGGCAGAGGTGGACGGATCTGTCAGTTCGAGGCCAGCCTTGGTCTACAAGAGCTAGTTCCAGGACAGTCTCCAAAGCTACAGAGAAACCCTGTCTCAAAAAAACAAAAACAAACAACAAAAATTAAATCTACAGTTTTTTTTCTGAAATATATAGCTATTTGACAATTGGAAGGGGTTTAAAAAAAAGATAGCATGCAGAAATTGTATCCTATTGATCAATTCTTATTTATCTGCCTTGTGTGTGTGAGTCCCTGAGCATGCACGATGCTTTTCCATAGAAATAATTAACCCTGAGAAACAGTGCAGCAAAGGGCAGTGTGAGTCTAGGGCATCTGTGAGAGTATCACTTTCCTGGAAAAACACTTTTAACTGTTCTTTCCCCATTCATACCACTGTGGGAGCCTACAGTCAAGGAATTTGCTGGGCTGGCACTCATTGTGAAAACCTGACAACCTGAGTTCAGTGCCCAGGATCCACATAAAGGCAGAAGGAGAGAATGAACTCCCATAAGCTGTTCTCTGACCTTCACACACTTGATCAGAAGTCCTGAATGTAAGCCCCAGGATTCAGTCATTACACTTCCCCAGGGAATTCTTTGTGTGTAGACATGAGCTAACACATGGTATATGCGTGGAGGTACTCAAGTGTGGATGCTCACGCATGCCATCAGAGCCCAGACTCACTCTCCGCTTTATTGCCTTTTGCTTGGGCTGGGCTAGCTAATCGGCAAGCTCTCAGGACCCACCTGTTTTACATGCCCCCATGCTGAGGTCACAGGCACAGCAAGGCCATGCCTAGCTTTTAAAGTAAGTGCCAGGTGTTTGAACTCAGATCAAGCTTTTCAGAGCAAGTGATCTTACCCACTGAGCCATCTCCCCAGGCCCCCTCCCCCAGGGCATTCTCATGGGTACCCAGCATTGAGGACCATCTCTTGAGAGGTCCCTGAGTGGTGAAGCAGTTCTTCTCAACCCCACCTCCCTCCCAACATTGTGAATTATAAAGACAAATATAAACCACTAGGGGATAGGAGAATGGAGACTGAGAGCCTTGTTCTTTGTTTTTGTTTTTGTTTTTTTTTTTAGGCTTATTTTGTTTTATTTATGTGTATGTGTTGGAAGCGGAATATGTGT